ATACATATATACATATGCACATATATACATATATATATGCATACATGAATGTATATATGTATGCATACATATACATACATATATATACTATACATACATATAGATACATATACATACATGCACATACACATATTCACATATATACAAATATTCATATATATATAAATATATATATATATTTATATTCATATACATATACATATATGTACATACATATATACATACATACACATATACATACATACACATATACATACATACATATATATATATATATATATATATATATATATATATATATATATATATATATATATATATATATATATATATATATATAATGTAAAATGCATTCAGCATACCCACTAAATCATCCTTTATCAGTAAAGATTAGATTACTCAAGATATCAATCAATATGCTCTGAAGAAAAGCTTGCAAATGAAAAGTGCTTATTTCTTAAGATTGTAGACTTTACAGCTGATTTATTAAACAAGAACTAAGAAAATAGAATAATATGAAATAATAAAATTATGTGAAGAAAACAACAAACGCAGGGGATATCAAGCATGTACAGTTTACCTTTAGATGTGAATTTCCATAATATAAATATAACAAATACAAAACACTATAAAATAAATTGATTATGTAACACCAATGCAATACACATGGATAATTACCAACAATTCTAATGAAGTATCTAAGTAATAAATATATCAATTGAATAGAAAAAAACATGTTCATACCAAGAACAATAATATTAATAATACTACAAGTTATAAGTACATACCTCATCCCATTAAAACCTCGATTACTAATCTCTTCCCGTATCATACACCTATATCAACTTAATGACACCTTCACTTACACACATAAACCCATAACATTTACCTTAAAGTACCTTATTAAGCGTATAACTCCAGCCAGCCGTAAATATCAACCAAAATACCTTAATAAAATCCCCAACGAGCGGCTTCCTTTCGGTGTCCTCTGTTGACGTTCCGGTGTTGCCAAACCGGATTGCGCTAGATTCCCCAGAGACTAGTGAAGAGCGGTATTGAAACCGGTTTTCTCATATTGATATTTTTTTTCTGTTTTGCTGTGATATCTAGCTGTGATAGTATTGGGAAGGGAGATTTTTTTTTTGGAGGATGGTGAATTATTCAGAGATGTTTCTACATGATGTGGGAAAAGTAGCGAGGGGCGCTAGGTAGAGAGATTTTCCTACGTCGGGTTTTAATGTAATATCTAGCCTTAGTTATCGGTATTAATGCTTAGGAACAATTGTTAAGGAAGATATCTAATAACCAAACAATCGTTCTATTTTAATTTGGAGAGTATTGAGGAGTGCTATGTAGAGCGATTTCCTATGGCGCTACCATGACCGTCAGTGATGTTTAATATGAAAATATCTTATAAAATATCAAAATTTTTCCGAATACAATTTAATCAGACTATAATTTGCTTCTTAACATAAGACTTATTGTTCTCAGATAATGTTAATAGCTGTCATGTGGTGTAGTATTCGGCACCACAAAACCATGACAATGTACTGGATTCTTACATCATCATGACATGGATATTTTATGTTTATCAAAGACCTTGGAATTGAGAGTTAGCAACAAATGATGAAGCACCTACGGTTGTCAATTATAAAATACAAAAATTAATAGATGTTTCATTTGGTTTCCATATGCTAAACAACTTGTGTGAATGTTTTGCGTGTGTATGTTTGTGTGTGTGTGTGTGTGTGTGTGTGTGTGTGTGTGTGTGTGTGTGTGTGTGTGTGTGTGTGTGTGTGTGTGTGTGTGTGTGTGTGTGTGTTTTTATACAGTTTGTGTTTAAATATTGTGTTTTTTATAATAGTTTTCTGAGGATTTCTCAATTTTCCACTGGAGATAGGATAGATACTCGAACATGGGGCCGTCCAAATAAATATATTGTGCTTTCTACTCTTGCTTAAGTTGAGTTACACACGGACACACACACACAGACACACACACACAGACACACACACACACACACACACACACACACACACACACACACACACACACACACACACATACACACACACACACACACACACACACACACACACACACACACACACACACACACACACACGCATATATATATATATATATATATATATATATATATATATATATATATATATATATATATATTATGTGTGTATGTATGTACATATATGTATATATAGATATACATACATACATACTTATATATATATATATATATATATATATATATATATATATATATATATATATATATATATATATATGCGTGTGTGTGTCTGCACACACACACACACACACACACACACACACACACACACACACACACACACACACACACACACACACACACACACACACACATATATATATATATATATATATATATATATATATATATATATATATATCATATGTGTGTGAATGTACATATATGTACATATAAATATACATACATACATACATGTGTGTGTATGTGTGTGTGTGGCGTCTATGCACCCAATATAGTATATTTGCGACAGATTCGGAACACATTTTCCTAGAGAGCTGTCTCCCCAAGTACATGATAGTCTTCCATTTTTTATTTGTACCGTTTTCTGTGATTTCTGACGTACTGTAAATGGCCATTTGGAGCTATGTTTAATTCCTCTGAGATTATTTAAACACAGCCACAGATACATGCGGTCTCTAAATTTCCGTTACAATGTGTAAATTAAACTAAGTTATTTTACAAGTATTTAGACAATATAGCATCGTCAAGGAATGTTAAGGGATGTTGTAAACAGCCAGTTACAAACATAGATTTAATGTGAGGGAAAAAATGAAAATTGGTCTGAGTCTTATTGTGAGCACATATGAGTTTCACAAAGTATTAACTGGTACTTACATATAAATATTGTAGCTGTAGAAGTAATTAGAGTCATCGGTCTTATTGTATTTGTTAAAGGATTTTGTTAGTTGTTTTTCATACAACAAAATATTACTTCTTTAAATAAGTTCTAACAGTGACCTTTTGTGTAGGCTGAAGGGTGTCATTTATGACACAGTGGGAATTCAACACAATATTAACTTGCAGATTTAAAAGGCCTATCTTCACAAGTTATCCAATGTGGTTCCGTTATCATTGTTTCCATTCACAAATACATTTTTTAAAGCTACAGAGCTTAGAGATCACAGCCAATACCTTGTACGATAAGTCCGATATGCGAAGCTGAGCCTTGCCCGGGCTATGGGGGAGCCCAACCTGTGCCAACTAATGTCGACTCGCTAACAGTGTGTCAGCTGGTGCTGACTCGGGTGAGCTTAGTCCTTACCCACCGTGGTGCCCAGCCACAGCAGTAACCTCCAGGCGACAATTGCAACTTCTCGCGCCTGGGCGGGGCGCGAACCGCCGACCCCTCTGATGAGAGGCCGACACGTTACCACTATACTAGCCCGGAGGCTGAAAATACCTTGAATCTATAATTTTCTCAAACACATAGCAGGTCACACCTATATCGGTGGATTTTAACTCAGCCCTTTAAGAATCTAACGCAGGCTATGGGATCCTCTTCCTTTGCATACAGTGTATATAATGTAGTTTATTTATTGAGATTTTATTGTATCATACACATATGAGATGTATTATGTATTGTTGAACTTTAAAGTAAATAATCTAAAATAAACACTGATATAACTGTTAGTCTTTATCTGATCTTCATGGACCCCTGAAACACATCCACGGAACCCAGGTTAAGAATTCCTCCTCTAGATAGCATGAAAATGTTTACCACAGACTTGACTTCTTCTTTTTTATCTCATATTGAAATATTTTTGATACAGAAGTCTTTTTGGGGGGAATGGACAGCCTTAATAATTGAATGTAAGAAACAAGAATTAAGAATTGAATGTAAGAAACAAGAATTAAGAATTGAATGTAAGAAACAAGAATTAAGAATTGAATGTAAGAAACAAGAATTAAGAACTGAATGTAAGAAACAAGAATTAAGAACTGAATGTAAGAAACAAGAATTAAGAACTGAATGTAAGAAACAAGAATTAAGAACTGAATGTAAGAAACAAGAATTAAGAATTGAATGTAAGAAACAAGAATTAAGAACTGAATGTAAGACACAGAAGAGGAGGAGGTGCATGTGGAACGATCATCCATCATCTTTCATGACTGATGAAGAGGAATACAAAAGTATCATAAATTTATTGGCGTCAGCATTTGGCTCAATGGTAGGACAGTCCCCAACTAGCACACTGTATCAAAGCTGATAAAAAATAAACACTGAACAGCTGACTCCTTGATTTGAGGAAATTGTTGTGGAGATTCTAAGAGGAGATTCTACCTATAGAAGGTGATGAAAAGGAAGAAAGCTTTAATGGCGTTTTGGCTAGTAAGTTATGAAAAAAGTTTTTGTATTAGTATTTCTTCACAAGAGCAAATAAAGGGGTATCAGCACACATGACATATCTGAACCCCTATTGACAATTTTGGAAAAGCTTAATCCAGCTAAAGCTTAAAAAAACTAAAGATAGCCATTTTTCCTGTGTCACTTTCAAATATGACTTTTGCTCATTAAGTCACGTTTTTTGTGTGTGAATTGGTATATGGATGTGTGTGAATATGTGATATGTGATATATTACAAATAATTTTTTAATTGAAACTGCAGGGCTATAACGTAATTATAAAAAACTAAATAAAAAAAAAATCATGTTCCACACTACCATTCTGAACAGTATGAAGTTTTATGATCTAAAATCTGTTAGACATAAACTTCGATCTCCCTCACTGAATATGTTGGGGAGTTACACCCTGCATAGGAGGGTAAATAGGAGAGGGAAATGTATGTTAGGTTAGGGGAAATTCTACAATAATTATGGTATTCCTCGTTTTGTAACGTGTGAATCAATATAACACAATAAAACGAAACCGCCCAGTAGAAATTAAATAACATTTTTATTTCGATTTACTTTAATTGTGTGTATACGTTTCTGTGTTTTTCTTGATATAGTAAATATGTACAGTATTTCTTTTTAGATCTAAGTGAAGGATTCCTTCCTCTATCTTTTTCCTTACTCAGGCCATAATTTTGACCGACGGGACTGGCTAACACTACAGTCAAGACGCATCTACTTCAATCTTTTTTGCATAATTGTCTAATACTTGAGAGAAATTTGACAAAAAAAACACATTATTTATTTACAGTTTTGGGAGATTTAAGATTATAACCCAAATAGTGGCGAACTATTTGTGATCAAAATTAAATCCACCCTGAGTTTGACAAAAATCATATTTATTTACAGTTTTGGAAGATATAAGATACTCTTTTTGGTCAAAATGAAATCAGTCCTCTGTCTGTCAAAAAAGGTTGGAAGGCATCTAACGTTTCTGTTCAAAATTCACGTCCCACCCTCCCTCGTCTTTATAATATGGACAAGGTTGTTTTCTTCGATTTTTTTCCCTCATGAAAGCGAAACATACAACGAAAATACACTACATATTTTTCTTTCTTTCTTTCTTTTTTTCTTTTTTTTTTGAAAAAAAAGTACTATTAAAAGATCAAAGTCGGGGAAAAAATGGACCAGTATGTCTCGACCAATCCCCTCTTTACAGGTAAAAAAAAATACAACCTGAGTACTAAATGTAATTAGATAGCAAAGATAGTTTAAAACTTCACCAATGTCGGTTAGCAGTGTTGGTGTGATATGGCAATATTAGTCCTTTGCTTCATAAGGTTCTGGGAAATGCATTTTTTATGCAGAAAAGTAAAAAGTTAACGTGAATGACGAATGAAAAATGAATTGTATACTTACGATTCCAAATATTATCATTATTTTTTTCTCCCTCTTCTCTCTCTCTCTCTCTTCTTTCTTTCTTTCTTTCTTTCTTTCTTTCTTTCTCTCTCTTTCTTTCTCTCTCTCTCTCTCTCTCTCTCTCTCTCTCTCTCTCTTTCTTTCTCTCTCTCATCTTATC